ATTCTTCTCGGTGCCCCACCCCTCCCTTGGCCCCTTGCCTTTTGGCCCTCAGGCTTCTCCTGGGTCCTCAGTCCTACTGGGGCCCCAGTGCCTCCTTGACGCCCAAGCCTTGGGCCCCCTCGTCTTTGCCTTTCATCGCAGGGTTTTAAAGCTCCATGAACCCAGCTCCAAACACTCTAAAGTCCCTCACGGTCCTCCCAGTCCCTTTCCTCACAACACCACGTTGAAGCCCCTTCTGCACAATTTTCCTGACCGACTTCCATGCGGTCCCAGGTCAGCAAGGTTAAAACACCGGGCCCCAATTTTGGGCCCGTTTTCCCGACCCAACCCGGTGCCTTCTCCTCCTTCCCCGGAGCCAGATCCCAAAAAAGCGGGGGTGGGCCTGGAACAGGGAACCAGCAGCCCCCTGGTTACCCAAGGGATGGAGAGGGGGCAGGGAGAGTCCTGCTCAGAGACCCCTGGTCTGAGGCTAGCAACATTCCTGGGGGAGTCCTGGGGGAAAACACAGTCCTGGGAGGCAGGCGGTGCTGGGAGATGGTAGTGCTGGGAGGTGAGGGGCACTGGGAGATAGGGGGATCTGGCTTTGGGGGCTGTTGGAAGGTGCTTTTCTGTTGGAGCAGTGGGCAGACACCATAGGACGCCTGGCTGTCAGGGGTCCTTTGTTCCCCTTCACCAGCCCCAGATGCCTGGGCACTTGCATGTCCAGCTGCCCCGTGCAGGAAGCTGGACTGATGCCAGCAAAGGTGGCTGAAGCCATGCTGGAGGCAGGGGTGACTCTGTGCCTAGGCCGGGCTTGCTGCCAGGGCTGGTGTCTCTGCCAAGTCTGGCTTTGCCCTGGGGGCTCTCGGGGAGGGCAAGGAGGAGTCCTGGGAGGGATAAATCTGCCCCTCACCTTCTCCAGCCTCATCCAGGACTCACCACACCGCAGAGAAACATGAAGGTCGCAGTGCTCAGCATGGCCCTGCTCTTCACCATCCTGCTGTGCACCCCAGCAGATGCTCAGGTGAGTCCCCAGTGCCCCGTGGAGGGGCTCAAGGCTGGGAACAGGTCTTGGCTGCAAGGTATCAGCTCCCCTGCAGGATGAAATCATAGCGGTGAGCATGAAACCCCTTGAGTTGGCTTCTCCCTTTCCCAAGCAAGAGGAAAGGGAGAAGCCCCAGCTGATGCAGCTTTCTGCCTTCCACAGTTCTGTTTGTTCCCAAGCTTCCGCGCAGTATAGCTCCTGATACCCAGAGCCCAGCTTCTTCCCTGAATGGTCGGACCTATCTCCCCCCTAGGAGGGCCTGACCCATTCCTTCTCTCGGTGCCCCCACACCCCTCCCTTTTGGGCCCCTTCGTCCTTTTGGTCCCCTCAGGCATCTCCTCCCTGGCATCTCCTCTCTATCCTACCTAGGGTCCCCAGATGCCCTCCCTTTGATCGTTCCCAATGCCTTTGGGACCTCGCCCCCCTCAGTCCTTTGCCTTTCATCCTGTCCACTGTGGTAATGTCCCCAAAAACGCTTCCTTGAACCCCAGCTCCCAAACACTCTCCCAGTCCCCTCACTTTGGTCCTCCGCAGTCGTCCTTCTGCCTCTACCAACCACCACGCTTGAAGTCCCCGTATCTTCTGCACTTGAATTCCTCTACCCGACATTAACATCCCATACAGTCCTGTCCCTTCAACGCCATCAGCCTGGTTAATTCACGCCAGTGCCCTGTCTTTGCGTCCCAGTCATCCCATCCCCTTTGGAGATCCCTAATTCCCCAGGCTGTCCTTCCCTCTGTCCTCACCCCTGGTCACTGCATGAACAGGTATCCCAGGTGCAACTTGGAGCAATGGGGTGGGGGGAGCAGAAGGGATCTTCCTGCTCAGACCAGAGGGAAGCCATGGGCCTGGGGAGGCTGGGGACCCCTGTACCCCACACAAAGCCCCACCAAGGTCCAATCCGGACAAGCTCTTTGCTCTCTTTCCCAGGCAGTCTTCTGCAGGCTGCATCTTTGCTGTCAAGCAGAGATGGGGAAAGGAGTATGTATGTACTCCGTGTTTCTGTGTTGGACACGGGGAGAAAGGAGATGTCTGAGGGCCAGTGCAAGCAAAGGGGAGAGCAAGGGGTGTTCCTCAGCCAGCTCCCCACTCTCACAAGCACTGCTCATGTTGTGGCTGTTCTCAGGGAGAGCCAAGAGTAAAGCCGCTGGGCAGACTCCCTGCCACACATTCACCAGAGGCCCAGACTTTGGTCATGGTAGGACAACCTGCTGTGTAGCCAGACGCAGGGGTGCGGAGCCGGAAGTCTTGATTTGCTCAACCTCTTTACTTTCGGGGAGTAGTGAGTCCTGGAGTTCTTCTTTGGGGGAAGAGCTGCTGGCAGTTTTGAAAGGTGTGGACAGAAAGTGTTCCTCCTGGGCTCTTCCCTGGCAGCTGTGTTGTCAGGAGCAGGTTTCCAAAACAGTGGCTTTTGTGCCTGGAAGTGGTAATCCAGCTGGTTTGCTCGAAACCTGGCTCATTGACAGACATAGGACACCCTCCTTTTTCAGGCAAAAGATGGCCGTGCACAAGAAGAGGTTCTTGAGATTCATTGTCTTCTTGCTTCCAGTGGTTCTTGGTGAGTCTGTGTGAGCAAACATTTGAGAGTAACAGCCTGGTTGTGCTGGGTGCCAGCTTTTCTTTTTGGCCCATATGTGTGGAAACTGGCATGGTCCAAGTGCTTCTGGTGTGCGTCCTTGACGAGGACTTGCTTTTCAGCTACCAGTAAGACTGGTAGCCTCCCAGCCATGCTGCTGCACTGGCCACAGGACCAAAGGGCTTGCTTAGTCTGCAAGCCTGCGAGAGAAGGGAGTATGTATTTCCAAGCCTGAACTGGGGGATACCCAGAGGGGCTGTGCAGAGTGACTGATGCCCCTCCTGATACCTCTCCTGGCTGATGCAGCCTGGTCCCAGGGCTCACAGGAGCAGTAAGGGGAAATGGGAAAGAGCTCTGGGTCACCGAGCACACCTGAAGCTCATGGCTACACAATGCCCTGAAGCCTGTGGTGATGGTTTCCGGTCAGAGGCACGTCCTCTCTCTGCACCCTGTGTTCCCCACCTCCGCAGCTTAGCTGCTGCCCCATCCACAAGGCAACCAGGAGGAGACCACGGTGCTTCAGGGACCACTAGCAACCCAGGTCAAGTGACTGTCTCTTGGTGATGTGAATTGCAGCTGGTGTTTACTGTGGGACCTCACTGCCAGCGTGGACAATGCAGGCAAAGGCACAGAGAGAGGTTGGTGGACCCTCTGGGACAGGCAGCTCCTGCAAGGGAGCATTGCTGACAGTGGCTGGCTAAATCGTGGGCTTTTCTGTGTCCACACAGAGTGAGCCAAAGAAGCAGTGGCTTTTGCCGGGGCTTCCTAGGGAAGCCTCTCCTGGGAAGCCCCAGCAGCTCTGGTGGTGGATACTCTAACAGAGAGTTTTTCCCTTTCAGGCTCTGACAGGGGCAGCCGCAGCAGAAACAAAGATGCTGAGGTAAGAGATGTTTCCTGAGCTGGAATTGGACCTATGCAAACAGCATCAGCCAACCTGTCATGGTTTAAGCCCAGCCCGTAACTCAGAACCACGCAGCCGCTCGCTCACTCCCCCTCTTCTCTGTCCCCCTGCTCCCCAAGGGATGGGGAGGAGAATCAAGAGAATGTAACTCCCACGGGTTGAGACAAGAACACTCCAGTAACTAAGGTGTAACACAAACCACTGCTGCTACCACCAGTAATAATAATGATAAAGGGAATAACAAGGGAAGAGAATACAACCGCTCCCCACCGGCTTAATGGTTCCCAGCCCGACCAGAGCCGTGATCTAGCCCTTCCGGGTAACTGCCCCGTTTATATACTGGGCATGACGTGCTGTGGTATGGAATACCTCTTTGGCTAGTTTGGGTGCAGTGTCCTCTCTCTGCTTCCTCCCGGCTTCCCCTCGTCCCTGGCAAAGCATGAGACTCAGAATGTCCTTGGTCAGAGTAAACATTACTGAGCACCAACTAAAACCAGCGGTGTTATCAGCGCTGTTCCCAGGCTGAAAGTCAAAACCACAGTGCTGCACCAGCTACTGAGAAGGAGAAAAATTCCTGCTACGGCTGAACCCAGGACAACCTCGTGCTACCTGCACCCATTTTTCTAACAGCCACGGCTCCTGTACTTCCCTCTGGCCATTGCCTTTCTTTCAGCGTGGGGAGGAAGGGAAGCATTCACAAACCAGAAAGCCCTGTGTCTCTGCTCCTTGCAGAGGGAATGGGCTGCTCTCTGACAACATCTGCTTTCCTGTTCCTGCAGGAATTTGCACGCCTTGTTGACAGAGCAAACCCAAAAGTTGCAGCTTCTGCTGGAGGAGGTGGCTCAGCTGGAGGTGGAGATAAGCCGTTTGAAGAAGGTAACCCTGCATTTTGGAGAAGAAGGCTTGGCTGGGCAGAAGCCCTGAGGAAGCACTACCTGGGATTAGTAGTGGGTTCAGCCTGCTGAGCGCAGCAAGCCAGCTTGTGCCAGGGGATTGCTGGGTGAGCTTTGGCACTGCCCAGGCCCTTCTCTGGGCCCAGGTTAACTGGTGCTTCAGGCAGTAGGAATCTCCCAGCATTCTTCCCTTGGCACGGGCACCTTTGGCTGCTCTGGCTGGGCCCTGAGCAGCAGGGAGACCCAGGCCCACTCCCATGGCCAGCCTTTGTGGACATGGCCTGAGCATGGAAGGTGGGAACAAGGGAGTGAGGACCCCATGGTCGTGGCCACATATACTGTGCTTGTGGCTCACGTCAGCTGCAGTCTCTCAGCTTACTGGACAAGGCTTGCCTTGTGTTTCTG